TACAAGCTGAGCGGCAGTTACAGTGGCGGCATTATCGCCATAAGCAAGTCTAAGGGCTGGAACACACACAGCGACATCGGTCATACGAAGTCCGTACGGTTCATGTCGCATCAAGTAGTAGAATATAAAGTGTAATCTTAGTTTTCATATGTGACGACATGCGACATCTACCGTACGGCAGTCGGAGAGCAAAGAAATATATTTGGTCACTCTAGTGTGAAAATGAGGTCGTACGGTAAAAAAATCGTACGACATTTTTCTGTACGGCCGATGTCGCTGTGTGTGTTCCTAGCCTAATAGTAAGGTAAAGCTATCCCTGTAACAGGCCGTGCAGGCCCATAGGTTTATGAGACGTCGAGGGTCAAATATTTTCTCTAGACATTCGGCTCATAGATGGCGGTAAGGTTGTCAGTTTATGCGCCGGCAGCCTTTTACCCCCAGGAAGATTCCTGGTACTCATTTCTGTTAGAGGCTGAGTCAGACCCAGGGCCATAGTAGCAATAACACTAATGGAAAACCGATCGTAACGATTGAGGGTTATATGGGAAGGTTCTTGAATCGATTCCAGTCGCGAACACCATCTATCGCGCTAAAATATTTTGTAGTTTCCTCCACACCCTTAAAAAATATACGATAATACGTTACAGTGAGTCACGGTAAGTTTACTTCATACATCTGCCTATGTAACATTCACAATCATATGTCTTCTATTTCTCCTCTGTCTCTATGAAACCAAAGACGTTTGCGAAACGATCCCTAAATAAACGAGGGCAGTAAGACGTAAAGCAGTGACAAATGTTAACGGAAAAAATGAATCATATAAAGCATAACACACATAACAAAAGGATACTATTTATTTACAATCATAAAGCATTGCAAAATATAGGTTATCTGCTTGTGTAAATAACAGAACAAATACTAATATTTAGTTTAATTTTAAGTAATAAAGAGTGGCTTCGAGGGAAATTATCATATTTAAAAATCACATGAAAATTGGTAAGTTGTACTATGATAGAAAAAATGGCAAAGGTACAAAATACAAAAACACTGTTTACTCTGAAAGTTGAAATAACTTTAGCCGGTATATCAGTGATTGACTGCATCAGCATTTTACTGGAGGGACTGAGTAAAGTCACAAAAATATAAGCCATGAATACCGGTATCCCCGCTTAGATTCAAACCTATCACCTCCAGAATAAATGTCTGGAGCTTTATCGCTGTTAAAACCTGTTCCATAATCCTTCACTCTTCTGCTTTAGACCCACAACTGGATATGAGAGCTCTTATAAAATATTTACGTAAAGACTGAATCCAGATCCACTGACCTGTAAATATCGCACTAATGGACACTATGTTCAGGTCGAGTTTTTTTATGTGAAAGTGTATAATGCTTTGATAATAAATTAACGCTTTAAAACAAGTCTGAATTTACTTTTATATTAGAGAAACTACTTCCCGAGCTAGGAACTCTGGAATTTAGCCCAATTCAAAATGTAAGACTGAAAGAAAGACAGAGATATTGGGTTTTCAGACTTTATCCATCGTCCTGGTTTTTAAGCTAACTAAGAAAAACACGACGTTTCAGAAACTGGATCTGTTTCCGTCCTCAGGTGAGGGAAAACACCTATTCTGTTGGGTCCCTTAGAAAGAGCTAGCCTCAATCACTGGACCAGTGTTTTCCTTAGTTATCTTAAAAACCAGGACGATGGCTAAAGTCCGAAAACCCAATATCTCTGTGTGTTATACACCATCGTCAGAATCCTATAGTAACTACTTGAAGAAAGACGTCTGGTCTTTCCTACGGGTCATATTCTAACGCATTATGTAACATTTAGAACTGTAATGTAATTACTGTTTTACTGACAATTGAATACTTAATCACTTCAAATTGGCTTAACAAAAGAAGGTTCTTGTTTTGTTTTTAAAGATAATTTCTTACTTCATGGATACATCAGTGTCATGCTA